GTGCCACTTTCTGGCCATGAGGCTGTGATGAGACTTTGGGAATCTCAGAGGCTAACAGAGAATGACAGGGTACTCTGATGGTAACTGCTGATCCAGGACATCTGGAAGGCAGAGAGAAGACTGAAGAGAGACTGAGTTTAAAGACTGAAGGAAGGACTGTGGGTGGGGGATTCTATTGTTCCCATTCTTTCTGACCCTGTCAAGGGTTAGCCTTACAACTGTAAAATATCACAGGCTCGGAGTGGATTCATTCTCTTACCTACTAACTACATGGGAAATGCCATTTATATAAAAAGGCATTTCATTTTTCCATCCCACTAGTGAAAACAAAGAGCTTACAAATACAAATATTTGAGATAGTTATATTGATATACATCAATGACAGCCAATGAATAAACTCCCTAAACTTTCTTCTCTTGATTAGAGAACTAGATTTAGGGACCAGCAGATGATGTAATGGTTTTATCACTGGACTCCCACATAGACGACTGCGATTTGAGTCCTGGACCCAGAGGCTTAAAACTCATGCCGGGCACATGTGCGTGTGTGCCCAAAATTCTGGGAGGAAAATGGAGGAGAAGGGATGTGGCATGGACAACCTCCCTGCGTTGGGAGAAGGGGTGATTTCTCACTTTCTGTCTCTCTGTCTCTCTCTGTCTGTCCAGCGAGCACACGTGCCTTATAGCAAAAACCTCTCTTTAAAAAAAAAAAAGAGAGAGAGAGAGAAACCGGTTTCAAAATTGGCATGAGAGGAAAGTTGGGTATGGAAAGGGGAAAAATCTCAAGGAAGGGAAAAGAGACCCAGCTGAGTGATGAAGTCGGTGAGAAGCAGAACTGCAGTGCTGGAAGCCACAGGGCTAGCTGTGGATCTGGATCCCTGGATTGGCTGGAAAACACACTGGGGGCCGGAGCATGTGCCCAAGATCCTGGTGAACTAGAGGGCTGGGAAAGGGGACTACAGCTAAGGAGACCCTGTCAAAGGTACCCACCCCCCTCTCTCTCACTGGGGCATGTGGGCTCTCGATCATGAATGGACTACATCAACTTAAAAACAGAAGGAAAGAAAGAAAGGAAACGGGACCAGAAAGGGAAGCCTGAAACACGAGCAGCTACAATAGCGCTTTAGGACGTGACAGCACTTTAGCATACAAGTCTTGCTCATGCCTCATGTTGCTCTTGCAGAGACTTCTGTGAAGTAAAGGCGACATCGCCTGCAGCTCACGCAGGGAAGAAATGGAGGCTTAGAAAGGTTAAGTGGCTTGCCAGCCATCACAGAGCTGCTGCGAGGGCAATAAGAAGCTCGATACAGGCATCGACCTCAAAGGCTCATTCATCTGTTATTTGTCGTCCTCTCCATGTTCTTTGATTTTATGATTACGGTACAGACCTTGTCGGCTGGAGGTCACATCATCCAACATCAACAGTGCATTAGAAATGGTGTCACAGTGTTCAAACATTAGCTTAAGATTCAAGGAAGAATACAGAATGTTAAAATTATTTTCTCATCCAGCTTAGGGATACATAGAAAGCCACGTTACATTGACAGTACGAAGGAAAATCTGCTAACTAAGAGCATAGATTTCTGTACCCAAAATTTTTTAATTCACTTTACTATTCCACAGACATGGTTTACTAATTTTTCAAAATGGCATTTTTGTGTATAATGTCATTTTTAATAGAAAAATGATTCATTTCCTTCTTGTCATCATTTTAAGGATCAAAAAGTCTGTGAACTGGGGCCAGAACGGTTGTTTGTCAGTTAAGGTGTTGGACTCCCACATGGTTGAGAGCAGTTCAAGTCTCAGACCCGGCAGCTGAAAATCATGCCAGGTGCATGCATGTGCATGCTCAAAATCCCAAGAGAAGAACAGATAATAAGAGATTAGAGTGTGACCATCCCCCTTGGGGTGGGGGGGTGAGCTTGCATTTTCCCTCCATCTCTCTCTGTCTCTCTCTGGTGAATGCACATGTCCTATGAAAAAAAAAATGCCTGTGACCTTTGCTCAAAATAATTTTCTCTTTGGATGACAATATGAATGGCAGCAATTGTGAAGATCATTATAGTCAGTGCCCACTACCGAAAGCAGAATTCTCGGAAAGTTCAGAACTAAAGAAGGCCAGGTGTCGTCTGAGGCCTTTTTTCCCCTCTGGCTGTTCACACAATCTGACATCAATGTTGCCATCACTGAAGGCTTCTCCTTTGGGCTCTATGACTGGGTTTTCTTTCTGGAAAAACTTGGCTTTCTTTTGCATATTTGTACTCCCCGAATTTCCATGCCTTTGTGCAGGAGAGAAGTTTTCTCGTATCATGCAGCAACAAATCGCAGACAGAAAATTCTTCTTGAAGTTTTCGTTCATAAACGCATAGACAATGGGATTACAGATGGAGTTGGAAAATCCGATGATTTGCACTATAGCATACATCATCTTGATTGTGACATCATCATATTCCTTTTCAAAATTACCTGCAATAAATCGATATTCTAGAATGTATATTTGTTTTAACAAGCAGGAACTAAAACTTTTGCTGGTCATCTGACTTCACCAAAGATTTCCACAGGGACAAGTGGTCAAAAGGGTGAAAATTCTCACAATCACTTGGAGAGGCATCTGATGTCTGAATGAAAAGAACCTTTGTGATGCATGTTATGAAAAAAAATGCACAGATGTAAAATTTTTTTGTACTAAAATAAACTCATTTACCTTAAATTTTTAATAAACTTTTTGAAGTAATCTTGAATTAGGGGCCTCACAGCATTTCAACTTGAAAGCTCCAAGGTTTGTATAAGCTGGAAGCAGCAATCACCCGTCAGATATTCACTTGCATTATAGGAACATGTGCATACTGAGAATTGGGCAAAGCCCTGAGTTATCAGAGAGAATGCACTGAGGATCTGACTACAACCTTAGACATTATTAAGTTCATGCAGTTGAAGCCAGGGTCTAAATAGGAAACATTCTTGCAATGTCACACCTACCTTGGTGTTTATTTTTTATTTATTTATTTTTTTGGAGAGGTTTTCGCTATAGGGTGCGTGCGCTCACCACACAAACAGAGAGAGACATAGAGACAGAAAGCGAGAAATCACCCCCCAGGGAGGATGGCCACGCTGCAATCCCTTCTCCTCCATTCTCCTCTCGGGATCTTGGGCACGCACGCACACGTGCCTGGCGTGAGTTCTAAGCCACCGGTTCCAGGCGCGAACTGTGGTAGACTACATGGGAGTTCAGCGACATAGCCATTACGCTAACTGCTGGTTCCCCCTACCTCAGTGTTTAAAAAGCTTAAGGACAGGGCTGACAGGTGGCATGGTGATTAAGGTGCTAGACTCCCTTGTGGCCAATTGTGGTTCAAGTCCTGGACCTGGTGACTTGCTTTCTCACTTTCTCTCTCTCTCTCTGTCTCTCTCCAGTCAAAATGAATAATAATAATAATAAATAAAATTAAATAATAAAAATAATTCTTAAAGAAAAAAGCTTAAGGAGAACAGACAGAGTAACATGGGAGTAGGATTTCAAAAGCTTTTTATTTTTCATCTTCCGTACTTCTTAAAGATTTAGTCATACTCAAACATAATTACCTACTATATAATGATCTAGTGATCTTCAAAACATGAAAGAAGAATATTAAGGGCTTGATATTTGATTACCCAAGTGATGTAATGAATGTCAATGATTCATTGTCCATTCTAGCAAGATACAAACTAGAACTTCTATCAAATGAGAATGACAAGCACTCACCGTATTCAATCATCATGTGAATGACATGAAACGGTGCCCAGCACACAGCAAAGAGAGCCACCACTATCATCATCATCATGACAGCTCGCTTCTTCTTCCTAGACCCATGAGGAGACATTGCATTGGTTAACATCTCCTTGTCAGACATGCCAAGTCCATAGCAAAGCTATAAAATAAAGTCTAAGCCTACTCCACTCAATTACAAATTTTCAAATATTAACAATGCTCATGATAGATTCATTATGGGCAGATTATCATCTTTTCCCATTGATATGCTTCTCATCCTTATGTTTTAAATGTAATCAACATTCTTTTGTTGTGTGTTCATCACTGGTCAGGCACTCTGCTAGATGCTGAGTGTGGATTATTTACTTTTCCCCAAAGCCAACGACAGATGCAGAAGTTGAGACACAAAGATGGGAAAGTCACTTGCAATGTTGCCTGGCTAATACGGGATGCACTTTCGATGCAAATTCAGGCAGTCTGAAGTCAGCACCTGTGCATCTGTGTGCTTTAAACTGAAGAGCGCTCATGCCTGTGATAGTAAAATACCAATATTTATGAAATATGGGACATCCCAATGATATCGTTAAAATGCAAGCCGCTATTATGTGTCTAAGTAATATGATTATCCATGGATTCAAACTATTTTTTCCATTACTCCTGCAAGGAGTTTTATATCTAGAAGAGAGCTACACATTTCATGGTATTTTGAGTTTATAAAGAGTCATATTCATTAGTTCAACATGGTAGCCTTTTATTTTGAGGAAGTGGGAGTGCTAGCTCAGCAATAAGAACCAGGCGTTGAACAGTTTCCAGGTCCCCCCCATATGCTGAAAAAGAAGCAATAAGAACCAGGCGTTGAACAGTTTCCAAGGGGGAGGGTTTCTCTGTATGAACTGGTCACTAGAGGTCACTCACTGCACACTTGAAGAGATGAACCACTCCCATCAAAGCACTAGATTTTTCCACGTGGGGTTTTGCTTTTGTTTTGCTTTACTATCCATTGAGTGTATAAAAGAAACCATCTGGTTTACAAACATCATAGCAGTAAATTATGTTTTGAAATTGTTGTTAATGGATAAAATAAGAAAGCGAAGCTCTTAGGTAAAAATAAAATGACTCCATCAATAGTCATTTAAAACAGTGTGTTGTGATTTCTTAAGGATTTTCTTACAGATTGTATTATGTATTTTGGTGTCACCCTTGGGTGGGAGAAGGGGGGAAGGATGGATGTCACTGTGCTTCCGTGTACATATGTAGGAAGCTGGGATCTGGGGGCAAGGAGACTTATCCACATCAGGTGGCTGGTGAGTGACAGAGAGCCCCCACAGACCCTGGGTCCTGGCACCAGCCCACAGAGCTTACCACATCCTATTGACATATGCATGAAAACAGAACAGTGTTTTAAATTCCAGGTAAGTTTCTGAGAGGGGCTGATGATCTTACTCTTTCTACTAAGCTGTAAAACCTCAAGAGTTTACAGTCAGCCCAGGCATAAGTGTGAATTCACATGATGCTTTGACTAAATTACCAGATGTTCCAAGATCTCTGACAACGATCCCCTTCCGGCACTACTAAAATAAAATTATTTTAAACAGAGCTGAACATGTCATTCAACAGACCTGGCAATTTTGGAGATTTCTTTCCCGTGAGTAGTACGGAGCACTGAGCCGTCCCCCACTCTCTTCTTTACCCAAAGTTCATATCCGATCTTACTGTACAGGATGAGCATCAGCAGCAAAGGCAGGAGGAAGAGGACGACGAGGATGCAGGTGGTGTAGATCTTCTGGTTCATGGGGCTGCTCCACCCTTCCAAACAGCAGGCGTGTTCTTTTTCATATAGGAGGTCATACTTCATCTTTGTAAGAAGAATAATCAGGTACAAGAACCAGCAGTGAGCATCCAAAGAACAGAAAGCAGTCCAGCCTTACTTGTTAAAGGCAGCCTCTTTTAAACTTTACCAATTGGCCTCGGGGACAGGCACAGGTGCAAAAACTTCATGGAAAATGCATTATGATAAACTACGTGTGCATTTTAAAATGTTTTGTATCAAAATAAACTTGTACTGAAAAAATTTCCATGAGCAAGAGAGACAGAAAGAGAGACAGAGACCAAGAACACCTCTGACAGGGTCTTAACACCACGATCCACTCCCATTCTTCAGCCAGCTCCAGATCACGGGCCAGCATACTTAGGGAAGTCTCAGGACTCAAACTGGGAACCTTCTGGTGTGGATGGGTTCACAGCGCATCACGTGATTCCACTGCGCTGCCATCTATTCTCGAAACTGGTCACGTAATTGTTTTTTCACAAACTTTTGGAAGTGCCTGTTTCTTTCAAATGAGATACCATGTAAGTTATTCTTTTGCTGTGGCGTATGGGCTATTCTGCTTTGTTTTGTTTAACTGCTCTAATTCTTAATGGTTTTCAATTTTCATTCCTATTTTAAATTGAATGGAGGTCCCTAGCCTGTTTACTTTTTTTTTTCTTTCATCTTTCTCAACCTTCATTTCTACTAGTCACAGTTTTCTATTTTTTAATGTTTTCACATCTTTTTTCCTTTTATTGATAGAAAAAAAATAGAAAATGATGGCAGTCAATAAAGGGCCCTAACCTGTCCCCAGGGACAGACTAGCAGAAACACAGATACTATGAAACGGAAAGTGCCGCTAGCTTCTTTAACTGGTTCCAAGCACAAAATGTACCAGGAAGGAGGTCTTTGAACCAATTAAAATGCTGTGTTTTTAAAAACGTTCTCCCCAATCCAGATATGTATATACATTCACAAACGTAAGTGTGTGAAACAAAACTGTCAGACACAAGAAGTTGTGTTCTGTTGAAATAGGAATGAACACAGCAACAGATCAATACTGTTCCAAATGCGAGCCTTCGAATGCTGCATGGCAAAATGCTGCACTACATAAAGCGCTGCTAGGTTCAAATGAAAAAGTCTGTACAGCTTTCAGCAAAAATGCTTCAGCACTACAATGACCAACGCACTCACTGGAAAAAATCTGGATTGTACAGCAGTTAGTTTAATGTGAAATGAGTTTGCTTCCTTAATTGTTGAGGAGACAGACGTCAACAAGGCATCAAACTTCTTCCAATTGAGAAGTACAGGACACTATGCTTTGGTCACTGCTGTTCCATGGTGCAAAGATCACAGTGTTTGGAATGACACTAAAAGAGTATTTTAAATTCTGAGAAGAACAAAAAATTAAGATTGAAACTATTATGGATCTACACGTATTCATGTTGTAGTTGTTGACTTATTCAGGCTATTTCTAGTGCACTTATCTTTTATTGATTTATTTTTTTAAATAAATAAAAATGGTCAGAGGGTATGAGTGCTTGCCAGAGAGAGAAAGAGAGAGACCAAGAATGCACTCTCCCCATGGGACATGGCCATACCATAATCCTTTCTCTCTCCCTCCTGTTGGATTTTGGGCACTCAAGCACAGATGCCTTGTGAAGTTGTTTGGTTGGTTGTGTTTTCAGAGAGATTTTTGCTATAGAGCATGTGCTGGAGAGACAGAGAGACTGAAAGTGAGACATCACCCCCCCGCCCCAGGGAGGAATGAACACACCACAACATCTTCTTCTCTCAGGGTTTTTGGTTATGTGCCCAGTGTGAGTTTCAAGCCACCAAGTGCAGAACTCGAACCATGGTTGACTACATGGCAGTCCAGTGCCTTAGCCACTATGACAACCTGCTGGCCCCACCTTCTGTGTTTTTCAAGTCACCAGGTCTGGGATTTGAACCATGCTGGGGAGGGCCAGCTGTATTAACCAGTAAGCCATGAGCTGGCCCTGCCCTTCTATTTATCAAGGTCACATCAGTCCAAATATTCTCACAGGCACCAAAGAGAGAGACAATGCAAATTACTGATGACCTAAAGCCACCTTAGTCCAGGATCATTAACCCACGGGAATGCTTTATGCTTTTCTCTGGCTTGAGGTATTTCTATTCAGAGCAAAGCCTGGCATAGGAAAAAAAAGGTATTTTGACAGGTGTTAGAATGTTGTGAATTCCTATTTTTCATACAGTGAGAGCACAGAAGTGATGAAAAATTTAATTTAAACAGATTATTGTTTCTATCCTTTGAAATTGTCAACGACATTGCTCCTGCGAGAGTTCAGAGGAACAGAGTAGAGAGGACTGGTGAGAGGCTGAAGGCAGTGGTGCTTTGCTGTCCAGATGAGCAATTCAGGGCTCCATGCACCACCCCCCAACATGCTCTCTGCTGGAATTTAGCAGGGAGAAGATAGCCAGGGGATGCATATTAATACATTTATTTGACTTGAAACATGGTCAGACTTTTTCCTGACTGGAAGCAGATCTGATTTGTCTGACCCATTTGACAAGGAGGGTGGGCTTTGCCAATGAGAGTAAATGCATTTTCCACAAAATAAATGAATTATGTATTTTAAATATATTTAGAGTATAGGGGCCAGCAGGTGGCATGCTGGTTAAAGGCACTGAACTCTCACATGGCTGACTGCAGTTCAAGTCCTAGAGCTGGTGGCTTGCTTTCTTGCTTTCCCTCTCTCCCTGTCTGAAAAATAATAATAACAGCAATAAATAAAGTTAAATAAAATAATCCTTTAAAAATATATTTAGAGTACATAATAAAATATCTTTCTTTTAAAAATGAATGAAGCTGTGTTTTCTACAGGTCAGAAATGGATGCTACAACTGGGAACTGGACTGAGTCATTTATAAAAGGACTCCATTCATCTGAGCTTCCTGCCAGAGAGAAGGGCAGCCTTGCAGAGAAGAGCCAGCAACACGCGTAGTGTGCAGAAGCTCCAAGGTCTTCAGCAGCAGTTGGCTGGAGAATGGAGTGGCGGGTCCTGGTGGTATATCACTGAGAAACTTGTGAAATAGAGAACGAATCACGGGCAACAGCCACACCAGAGGGCGCTGATCCTGAGGACAGCTATCCTCGCTTCTCCCCATTCTCCTCCTCAGCTCCTGAGGACAGAGAGATGGCCAACGAAATGGGGGGTTGAAAGGAGAAAGAGGAACACAAGGTGAGAATATGGAGAAGGAGCAAACCATTTCTAGGCCTAAAAATAATTCAAGCTGGAGGATGGGAGAAGTTTATATTGAGAGGATAGATTTATGTGGTGACACCAGACTCGACATTTTAATAGCAGAATTACTTCTGCTCTTGTGACTGGAACTGACTACGGAAAGAGACCGGAAGAGCTAGAGGATCCGCTCACAGTCTCAGGACTGAGAAATTCTCCTATCACATTTTTATAGGTAGCAAGGGACAGAATGATGGTGCTTTCTACTCCCACTCCTAGAGTCCAGCTTGTTCAATATACAGTTACACTGGAAAAAAAAAATCATGCTACTTTGTAAATATACTCTTACCTTAGGATTCCTTTTATATTTTTGCTGATGGACCCGGAATGCCCAATAATGGGATACATCATTTTAAAAATTATCTTACGAAGTATGTGAGCAACTCTCTACTGTTTTTGAAGGCTACTGACTGTTTAGATCACCCATGCAAGACATGTTAAAGAACGACCCAAAGGACAGACTGGGCTGCCTGAAACCAACATGGCGCTCCCTTTACTGTGAATCCTCAGCCATGGCTGGGCCCATCTGACAAAGATGTGGCAGAGAGAGAGGTTGGATAAGATTAACCCCTAATATGATTCCAATTCTAATTTTAATTTGTCAGTGAATAGGGAGCAGGTAAGAAAGGACTTATGAAGGAGAGTCAACTAACAAGTAGAAAATCCATTAAAAAACTTTGAGATTTAAGAATAAAAGGAGGGGCCAGCAGGTGGCATAGTGGTTGTGTCACTGGACTCCCACATGGCTGACCATGGTTTGAGTCCTAGACCCAGTGGCTTGAAACTCATGTTGGGCACATGTGTGTGCATGTACGTGCCCAAAATCCTGAGTGGGGACTGCAGGCTGGCCGTCCCCCAGGGGGGTGATTTATCAATTTATCTCTATGTATCTCTAGCAAACACAAGTGCCCTATGGCAAAAATCCCTCTCTAAAAAGAGAGAGAGAATAAAAAGAAAATCTGGACTGGTAGATGGTCTGATGTTTAAGACACTAGACCCCCACATGGCTGACTACAGTTCAAGTCCAGGACCTGGCAGACAGCTTTTTCACTTTCCCTTTCTCTCTCTGATGAGCACACGTGCCCTATAGCAAATTTTAAAATAATACTAATAATAATAGTAAGCAAAATTAAATAAATAATTCTTTTTAACAAGGAACAAAAAGAAGATCTAGAATGATAATTGAATTCTTAAAAATATAATAAGGGTATAATAACCACCCTTTTTATATAAAGTCACATCTCTTACCCAATTCAGGTCTCCCCAGGGGACCCCCAAAGAAAGAGAGACAATTCAAATGACTGATATCAGAGATGCCAACTTGTCAGCATAAACCCGTGGCAGCACTTTCTGCTTCCCCAGTTACAAACATGGAGATACCTATTCAGAGTAAACCCGAGCATTAAGGAAAAGAAGGTACTTTGACAGGTGCTGGGTCACTGTGAATTTATTGGAGGACACTAGGAAAAGTATGCTCAGCTTGCAGAAAGATGTAGAAAGTAAGCTTGGTACTTCAAATTTTTTTTTCTTTTTTTTTTTTTTTAGAGAGAGAGAAAAAGTTTTTTTTTTTTTTTTTTTTCCAGAGAGAGAATAAAAAGAAAATCTGGACTGGTAGATGGTCTGGTGTTTAAGACACTAGACCCCCACATGGCTGACTACAGTTCAAGTCCAGGACCTGGCAGACAGCTTTTTCACTTTCCCTTTCTCTCTCTGATGAGCACACGTGCCCTATAGCAAATTTTAAAATAATACTAATAATAATAGTAAGCAAAATTAAATAAATAATTCTTTTTAACAAGGAACAAAAAGAAGATCTAGAATGATAATTGAATTCTTAAAAATATAATAAGGGTATAATAACCACCCTTTTTATATAAAGTCACATCTCTTACCCAATTCAGGTCTCCCCAGGGGACCCCCAAAGAAAGAGAGACAATTCAAATGACTGATATCAGAGATGCCAACTTGTCAGCATAAACCCGTGGCAGCACTTTCTGCTTCCCCAGTTACAAACATGGAGATACCTATTCAGAGTAAACCCGAGCATTAAGGAAAAGAAGGTACTTTGACAGGTGCTGGGTCACTGTGAATTTATTGGAGGACACTAGGAAAAGTATGCTCAGCTTGCAGAAAGATGTAGAAAGTAAGCTTGGTACTTCAAATTTTTTTTTCTTTTTTTTTTTTTTTAGAGAGAGAGAAAGATTGATTGATTGATTGATTTCTGCCATAGGGCATGTGCACTTGTCACAAAGACAGAGACAGAGAGACAGAAATCACCCCCCGGGGGGGTGGTCATACTGCAATCCCTTCTCCTCTATTCTCCTCTTGGGATTTTGGGCACACATGCACCTGGTGTGAGTTTCAAGCCTCCAGGTCTGGGACTCAAACCATAGTGGGAGTCCAGTACCTTCCTTAACCACTAAGCCAACTGCTGTCCCACCAATTATTTTTTTTCTAATTTTAAGGATTAAAGTCTTAACAATATAATATCAAGAAGTGTTCGATGAAACAAAGGGGAAAAAAATCTTAAAACAATTGTTTTATTCCGCTTGAAAGACCTGGAGTGAAATAACTGAGGTTATGCAAGTGTGCTGTGATGTTTCTACAGGACAGAAAATGATCGTAAGAGGGCTGAAAACATCATTCAATGACGCGATTGCCAATCCCACACCCAAGCCTACCTCAAGTCGCTGCACTTGCCACATGGGTGATCCTACGATGACAGCCACCAGCCAGACCACACCTGTAGAGATGTTAACATCATCAGAACATGACTGAGGTAAGTAAAATGCATCTATGTTTAATCCTCTAACCATCAAGACTGCCTATATCCAATGCACCCCTGTCCCGTCCTGTCCTTGAGCAGTGCCAAGGGTTTCCTCCGCGTTCTCAGTCTCACTCTTTGACCACCCTCAAAACCAGCGCTGCTAGGACAGTCTTCCCACAGTGTTCCTAGTAGATAAGACCCCATTTTCTTCACATGGCCTGTGGGGGTCTCTGTAATCTCATTTCTCTCTCTTTCTCCCCTCCTTTTCAGGACACCATCTGCACATCATGTCCTTGACTGAAGAACTCTGGAGATTTAGAACTGACTTTAGTTCACTTCCTGTACCCAGAATGCACTGTGCTCTTCCACACCATCACTCTTTTTACCCTGGATTGCCACTCCAACCCCACCATCTCTCTGTGGTCTCATTTCCCAAGACTTCGCTCAAAAGTTACCTTTTCTAGGGACTCTTTGAAGGCCACTGCCAATCCCAGCTAAGCTGCTTATTGACTCCTTGTCCCTGGTGCCCTCTACGGCTGCACCTTTCCTGCCCTTACTCACTTCTTCTCCACTGTTTCTGCTCTTCTTGAGGACAAGGACAATGGCTTGGATGTACTTTTCCTTCAAATAAAATTCGAAGGAAAATTCCTGGCCCTCAATTTGCCGAATAGATGAAAAAATTTTAAATAGGATATAGACCATACTCTATCATTTCTTTTTATTTTTTCTTTTTGAGAGATTTTTGCTATAGAGTATGTGTGCTCACCAGAAAAACAGAGACAGAGAGACAGAAAGCAAGAAATCATCTCCCCCCCCCACCACCACCAACAGGAGGGTTGGCCATGCTGCAATCCCTTCTCCTCCCAGGATCTTGGATACACATGCACATATGCCTGGCATGAGTTTCAAACTGCCAGATCTGGAACTCGAACCATGGTCAACCATGTGGAAATCTAGCAATGCAGCCATTATGCCATCCGCTGGTCCCCTATCATTTCTTTTTAAAATAGAAAGTACAGTTATCTTAAGAACCATAACAAGGGCATTCTTTTCTTCTTTATTTTTAAATAAATAAAGTGTATTTATATATTTCTTCAATGAGCAAGTAAGAGAGACTTTATTTTTAAATAAATAAATAAAATGTATTTATTTATTTATTTCTTCGATGAGCAAGTAAGAGAGACAAGTAAGAGAGAGAGAGAAGCATTTCCAACAGGGTCTTGGCACTGCAATCCACTCTCAGTTTGAGTCAACCATGGGTGGGCATGTGGGTGCCTGGTGTACTCAGAAAGGTATCTGTATCCAAACCTAGAACCTTCTCATGTCAGTCAGCCTCACAGACATCATTTTTAAAAAATTATTTAATTTTTATTATTATTAATTTGCTATAGGGCATATGTGCTTACCAGAGAGAGAGAGAGAGAGAGACAGACAAAGTGAAAATGCAAGGCACCAGGTCCAGGACTCAAACCATAGTTGATTATGTGGGAGTCCAGCACCTTAACCATCATGCCTCTTGCTGGCCCCTAGATATCATCTTTTAGGGCTACATCACCATCCAGCCCCAAGGGCATACTTTCTTTTTAAAAAATACAAATGGCTTAACTTCAGAAACGAAAATGCTCTAAGTTCTTGTCTGCCATGAGTTTGTTGAAAGGAATCCTTTAATACTATGCCTTTAGAAAAGAAAAAAAAAAAGAGAGAGAGAAACTATCAAGGGCCATGTCACTCTATGGATCTTAGGTTAGGAAGGAGACAGAACTAACTTCAATTTGGGGGGAGATTTTCCAGCTCAAACTCTATTCTTTCTATACTGCATGGAACCATTAAGAAATTCTGTGTATTGCTTTGTGTTTCAAGGAACTGAGACTTACTGAAGCCATAACTGGAGTTTAATGTAAAGAAACACATGAACTGGCTCTGCCTGGGGAAGGTCATCATGATTTAAGGATCCAGGACTTACAAATCTCTCTCTCTGTCTCTACATCACAAGGTACACCCATTCTATTCTAATCATACATTGTCATCTTATGCTCAGTCATTGTTCTGACCTTTCATGCAATTCTGGCAGAACTGGGTCTAACTGGCATAGCTCATCACCAAACTTCCTAGGCTCCCTGACCTTTCAGAAATGAAAGGATAGGGTTAGATGTACCTTATTGGTCCTGTCGTGACCTTCTGGCCAAGAAAGACTAGAAGGTTTCTGCTGCTTGGAGCCTGGGGCCAGGCAGACTCGGTGGAAGGAGGATGGGACATGACAGAGAGCAGGTGACTGACAAGGCTGATTCACAGTGTAACAAAGTTATAAGGAGAGTCCAGACAACAGAGCATGCGAGTCTCCATGTGAGATGAGTCTACTCGATTTCCAAGTCTCTGACCTCCAATGACTTTACTGAGTGAGAAATGCCTTGATTGTCTATTATCAACTTTGCTTTTAGATGGTGAGACTCTCTCCTTCTTTTTTCTTTTTAATAACTCTCCTCCTCCATGTATTCCTTTCTACACCCACATGCTGTTTTCAGACATTCTGATGTTAGAAGGATGTCAATTATTAAAAGCCCAGAGATCTTTGAATTTTTTGTGGGGAAGATGTGACATAAATTTGAAAGCATCCAACTAAAACTAACCAATTTCCCCTGTCTTTGTTTATCTACTCATTTCAAATTATTTAAAATGAGTTTGGCATTGTGAAGCCTTCAGGGGTTCTTTCTATAATTCCACCATCTAATACCGGCTGAAGTCCTAAAGCAGAAATTAATGTTCACTCTTTCTTCTCAAGTGGGATATTAATAAAAATTGTTCTCTTTGATTATCACATTAGTTGTTTACCTCTGATTATTTAGTGATAATAAATTCAAACCACAATAAAGTACATTAAAGTTTTAAATAGTTCTATTATAATAATTGGATAAAGAAAATTTTCCATTTTGCTGTGCAAGGCTTTAGGACATCAGACTCACCCTTTATCATATGAAATGAAGTGCTGAATCAGGAACAATTACAGCAAAGCACAGGATCGAGGTATGCCCAAAGCAAAATTATAAAGTGAGTGGAAAGTGTCTTTGTCCGGAACCCCCCAGCACACAGTACCAGCATTCTCACACACCCTGCGCCCTTCCATTATTGTGTACTCACCCCCAGGGCCACCTCTGCACAGCATCCTTCTCTACAAACACATTTGCTGCCCCCCTCCCCTGTTAAAATCAACCTCCTTTCTTTACTTAGCTTAGAATTTTCTCACCTCAGAGAGACAGCTCAGCAATCTAATGCATGCTAATGCGGCAATGCCACTAATGAGTTATTTCATATTTGCTGACATAGTGTTTCAAAGTTTTGGACTCAGAGCCAAGTAGTGGCATAGTAGTAACACTACAGAACTGGACCACATGAGAAGGTCCTGGATTTGTGTCCTGAGGCCTCCTTGTATGAGCCGCATGCATGCACGCCCATTGTCCAGGCTGACTGGACTTGGGAATGGATCATGGCATGAGGACCCTTTTGGGGGTGCCTCTCTGTTACTCTCTCCTGGAAGAAATGAACAAATAGAACAAAATGCTTAAGACTTAAACTAAAGAAACACATCCCAAAAGATAGATTTTCAGTGCTAGGGTAGCCCAAAGGACTGATGAGGTGAGAGCGGAGGCCAATAGGAGGAGGACTGAAACACTCAAATTACACTCTAGGGCCCCCAAGTTAAATGAGAAGCTACACTTCTAGTTTATGAGTTTTATTTTCCTTGTTCTATAATAAAGAAAGGTATTAGCACCAACACTGGTGAATCCAGTGACCTCACCTAGCATCGCAAAAGCCCTTCGGTTGGTGTATTGCCATTTCATTTTAAAAGGGTGGACGAGTCCCTGGTGTCTTTCCACAGCAATGCAGGTCATAGTGAGAATTTCTGTCACAATAGCTGTAGACTGGACAAATGGCACCATCTTGCAAACGAAGGCACCTGTATTAAGAAAATAGGACAAGTCAGATGTCAAAAAGAATCATCAAAAAGAATTATCTTGTAATTATCACAGTCAATTAATTTTGAGCATCTGTTCAAAGTTTTATGACGATAATTACATTATAGACACAAAATAATTGAGAAAGATGGCACCGTCAGCCTCTAACTAAATTCCAACTTCCTAAATACTAAGTATTTATGTATAGTGAGGCAATTTTGGATAATAGGTAGAAAAAGGTCAACGTGACCTTTGCTTAAGGAAGAAAGAACAAAGTCAGTGTGAACTGATCTCTTGGGGTCTATACCACAGAGGAATCTTTGATTCTTTCTTCTATTTTGATTTCTTGTCAAATCATAACAAAGGAATAATTCTCATCAAAGACTCATAGATTTCTTTTTTATCTTCTATTCTCCTTTGGCTCCCTGTCCAAGACTATGGATTAAACAATTATAAGCTCAACTGATTTCACTTTCTATAATGCGGTCTCAAACTAGTGGCTTCTGGGCAAAATTTGACCTGCAAAGTTGATTAGTTTGATTAACATAACATTCTTAAACTATTTGAATGCATTGCCACTATTTTTAAATGCTTATACAATGTTTGGCCTCTTTAGCATTTAGATTTATGGTTAGGCACCTGTGCTGTTGAATCCTTTTTTCTCATTACTACCAAATCAATTATTCTCTATTATCAGAGAATTATAAGCTTAGGAAACATAAAGAGTTAGAAGAAATCTTAGAAGTCATGTAGTCCAAGCTCATATCAAAAGCAGAAATCGTGGGGGCCAACAGGTGGTGTGGAGGTTAAGGTGACAGGATCTCACATGTCCAACTTCACAGTTCAAATCCTGGACCAATGGCTTGAAAATCATGCTGGGCACTTGAGTATGCATGTTCAAAATTTCAAAAGGAAAATGGAGAAGGGACTGCAGCATGACCATTCCAACTGGTGGGGAGGTGATTTCTCACTCTCGCTCCACCTCCAGTGAGTAAAAATGTAAAAAAAAAAAAAAAAAAAAAAAGGCAGAAATCTTCTCAACTTCTCTCACAAATTCTCTGCCAAGCTCCACTTAATTACCACCAAAAGAAACCTTCTTGCTTGCACATGCTTACCTCAAGTCTTTGCATGGTTTTTCCTTCTCCTTAGAATGCTGTTCCCTAAGATAACTTCCTCATATTCTTCACTGAAGTCTTTGATCAAATGTCACTGTAATGGCTAATTTTATGGGACCACTTGACTGGGCTAAGGGATGCCCAGATAGCTGACAATATGTTATTTCTGTGTGTGTCTGTGAAGGCGCTTCCAGAAGAAATCAGCATTTGAGTCAGCAGACTGAAGAAAGAAGATCACTTTCCCCTAGGTTGATAGGCAATCACCCAATCCACTGAGCACATGAATTGATAAGAATGCGGGCAGTGGGGTTAAGCTAGGCATCCATCTTCTCCTGCCCTTGGCCACCACTGTGACTGGTTTTCAGGCCTTAAGATCTCAACTATTACTTACACCATTGGTTTCCTTTGGTTCTCAGGCCTACAAGTTGGACTGAAACTAACTACTGCTTTCTAGGGTCTCCAGTTTATCCATGGCCGATCATGAGATTTCTCAGCCTCCATAGCTGCGTAAGCCTATCCCTTATAATAAATCTCTTTCTATGTATCTCTATAGATCCTCTTGCTTCTGTTTCGTTGGAGAATCCTAACACAGTCACCTTCTCAATGAGGTCAATCTACTTTAACGACTATCTCTTTGATTACAATCCCATACCTTTTTCATCTTTTCTTATTTTTCATCTCTCTTTCTCAGTACCTCTTTTTTTTTGGAGAGATTTTCTCTATAGGGCGCGTGCGCTCACCAGACAGAGAGAGACATAGAGACAGAAAGCGAGAAATCACCCCCCAGGGGGGATGGCCACGCCGCAATCCCTTCTCCTCCATTCTCCTCTCGGGATCTTGGGCACGCATGCACACGCATCCGGCGTGAGTTTTAAGCCACCGGGTCCGAGACGTGAACTGCGGTCGACTATATGGGAGTCCAGCGACATAACCATTATGCTAACTGCTGGTTCCCTCTCAGTAGCTCTTTTAAGATACTGACAGAAACACACACACACATGTATGTGTGTATATGCATGTGCACATGAGTGTGCATAAATATATTCAATTTATTATTTATAGAAAGTCTTCCCATCCCTACAAAAATAAAAATACCCATGAGCAAGGACTTTTTCTTATTTTCTTCACTAATGTATTATAAGCATTTAGAATGGCACATAGTAGGCCTTCAATAAATACTCTTTGAATTAAAGAAAATATGTAAGTAGGAGGCTCTTACTCTCTACAGGATGGGTGAGATACCTGATTCTGAAGAGCCTCTGACTTTGAAAAAGTGCTTTTCAATTCCCCCCACTCCTACTTTGGCTTTCAGATTCCTTTGCTAACCACCTGTCTTTTCCAGTGACTCCTCGTCCATTTGAAAGAAGTTTTCACATCATTCTTAAGTGTCTTCTTTTCTAGTTGCCATAGCTATTCCTCATCTGATATACTCTTCAGACCTTTCAACTGGGCCAGCCATGCCGAAGTGAAACTGCCATGCTCAGGCTGTGGTCTGGCCACAGCAAAAATTGTGGGATGATATTACGTCTCCAAAGTCTGAACATGTTCTTCCATGACTGTAACTGAAGTTTGCATCAGTCTTTTTGCTGAACTTTTCAAAGAGTAGGCTTCTGTTGCACGTGAAGTCATCTTGAAATGAACTGAGTCAAATTTATAGAACGTTCATTAAACCAAGATTCTTTTACCTCATATCCTATGACTAAGGGGGAAATCTATTTGACATCACCCTAGATATTCCCTTTCCAGTCCTTTTTGGAAGCTCCAAACGGTAATCCAAGAGTTAATCCCACTCATTCCTTTTCACTATTCAAGTTTCCCAAATCCTAACTCTGTTCAAAGTTAAGGGCCTTCCTTGTTTAGAAAAATAGTTTACATGCCAAGTATAGAAATTTACTGTCAATGCTAATAAATTCTACTGTGTTTGAAGACTTCTTATACTGGCTCGAATCCTAGTTTGGATATGACAACTGAATAAATGAATAGGTGAATAAATTATTAATCAGAATGTTTCTCCTAGGTTTTTTTTTTTTTTATTTTCCTGTACATTTGATCAGAATTTTTTTCTACTCCTTTACTGGCTTGTTTTTAAAAATGTTGGAGAGGTCAAGGTTAAAAGAACAACCAAAGAAACTTTTCATGAAATGTACATAGATCTATTATCAATTTATTTTAGGTACACAAACAAATGAGAATTTTTTTTTTTGAGAGGTTTTTGCTATAAGGGCGCGTACACTCACCAGAAAGACAGAGAGATTCAGAGATAGAAAGTGAGAAGTCACCCCCTCAGGGGGGATGGCCACGCCGCAATCCCTTCTCCTCCATTCTCCTCCCAGGATCTTGGGCACGCACGCACACAGGCCTGGCGTGACTTTAAGCCACCGGGTCTGGGACTCAAACCATGGTCGACTACATGGGAGTTCAGCGACATAGTCATTATGCTAACTGCTGGTCCCACAAATGAGAATTTCTGTTGCAGTGTTCATTGCAGTATTAGAGTGGCATCCATACTAAATCTAGTCCATAATAATAGCATGGGACATTTGTCAATGATTCTTTGCTATCCAGATGCACTCTGATTCTGATTCAGCTGATCTACTAGTCAGCTGCTCTACGCCCCCATTTCATCACATGTAGAAAAGATTGATAATCCCTACCTGTCATAGGGCCCAATGTATTTTATGAAATAATATAATCACCCAGGACAGGATGTGCTCTTTAATGATTGGCGGCTCGTTTATCATTAGACAACCCAATTAAAAGAACTAAGGTAAACTTGGTACACCAGGCACTGATGTGTTCTTTGTGGCTAAACTGATGATGAAAGGACATCTAATTTAATAACCTTGTTTTCTAGATAAAGATTCTGAATTCAAAAAAAGTTAAATGAATTACTCATGCCCACATAGCTATTTATTGATGAAATGACGGAATGAGTCCAGGTCATTTTTTTTCCGTTCCATCACCCTCACTTATTTTAATACACCCACACTATGTAGCAGTGTTCTCGTCCCCTCGGTCACAAATCATGTGTTTAATCACCCACTTGAGAATTTTTCTGCAAGCTCTAGTTCTATAATCCATTATCTCACCCTTTAATAAATCCAGACAGCATTTGCCCAACTCATTACTTCTGACACTTCTAAGAAATCACTGTTTTCTTGATAACATGGCCAAGTTTCTTCAATGTCCTGGCACATAATTGATCTAAGAAGTAGCAATAGATTGGAGTTTTCACTGTTGTATAAAATAGGTACCTGCTTTATTTCTACCTAGTCATTTATCTTGGCTTTCTGCTTTCATTCTAACCATCTTTGCCTTTGCTAATTGGGAGATCGTTTTTCTAGGTCTACGAGATTGATGTAAAGCAGATGTTGAAGGATTTTGGTTTTCCTGTGCCCTTCATCAACCTTCTTTCATCACCCCGCCCACTGATTTATCACTCCGGGGGCTCCGTCAGCTCCCTCTACTCTAGGCCTTCCCAGCGTGAATCATAAAGGTCAGAACCGTTCACAAGAATGTGAGTGTGCCTTGTGGCATTTCTTCCCAGGAATCAGAAGTTTACATTGAGAAAAATCCTAAATTCCCAAGATAGGACACTATTAAAACAAACAAACAAACAAACAAACAAAAAAACACAACTGTTTGTTGGCTTCTTGTAGGTTATCTGAGTTGTGATATTACACAACTTAAAGCCTGTCTGGAATGGATACTTCTCCTATTTTGATTATCTGGCATCCACCTGCATTTCTCCTAATGGCAAAACAATTTCATTCTAGAACGTTCCCTCCCCCCATCGTGGGCAGGTGAGGTGAGAGCTCCTACTAAGAAAGCCAAAGCAGGAATAGGCAAGATCCTCCGTAGTGCTGAGAGAGTAGAATGAAGACGGA